TTTTTAATCTTTATTACTTTGAGTTTACTGTTTAGTCCTTTTTTGTTTATTTTATTTTTTTAAGTTACACTTAGCTCACCAAATTTCAGACTTCTTATCTGATAAAAGTATTTTAAGCTATAAATTTTCCTGAAAGCATGATTTTTGTTATATAATAGAGGTTTTACTATGAGCTATCTTTATTATCATTCTACTCTAAATTTAAAATTTTTATTATTTCTTCTTTGAACCATGAGTTTAGAAAGATGTGTTTTTCTGATTGTGGAATACTCTTAGCCATTTTCTCTTTGAATGGTACCCACTGCCATTCTCTCTAATCTTTCTTTTTTTAACTCCTACATATATCTTCTCGGTATGTTTATTTCTTTTTAATGTTTAACATATCTATTGTGTAGCTTTTTTTAGTCATCTATTCTCTCCAGCCTTTATAATGTTAATTCTCCTGTTTATCTGCTGCTTTCCCTCCTGTGAACCATTTCTGATACCATTTGTATTTTTTCACTGTGAGCTCATCGTTAATGGAGTATTTTCCCTCCGCGGGTGTTTGGTGTGTCTAGGATTGTGGAAAGTGGTTTTGTATTTGCTTCTTCTGAGGCCCTTTGGGTCTTATTAACCGAGGCAATTTAAACAAATTATTGACTTGGAATTCCTGCCTTACATTTAAATTGTATAAATTCAGAATCCGCATCCACATATGACACAAGTTTATAGTTTAATTTCCCATTGATGTCTTTTTCCATTATCTAAAGCTTCAAGTGAATGCATGATTTCTCAATGCTCCTCTGGGTGGATGGGAAAAGGTTTTCTAGCCCTCTTTATAGAGTTGGGGCACTTTTGAGATTGTGGTTCTATATGGAAAGTTTGGCTGCATTTCCTACTTTGCATGGGCTGAGGTTATGTCCTTTTAAACTTGCTAGAGTCTGTATCTGGTTGGATTTACTTTTAGCTCCTGCTCACTGCTCGGTTTTGGACATCCTTCCTATTTCTTGGCATGTGAGGATTTCTTTCTTGAACTAATCTATATGTTTAAAATAATTTTCTCTCTGTGTGTATGTTTTTTATAGGTGTAGGGGGCCCATCTACATCAGCTCAGCCTACCATTTTGTTGCTCCTTTAATGTAAGAAATTAGAGACCAAGGACAGAATCCTGGGCCCCAATGACATATAAGGTACAGAAATAGGAAGTGAAATTCCACAAGGAGATGGAAGAGGCAGTAGGAAAAAAGTAAGGAGAGAGCTGGTCCTCAGGAAACAAAGAACAGAGCTTTTAGAAAGGTCCTTTTATGTGATGCGAGGCCAGCTTTTCCCAGGGATGGCACGTGGCTCATCCTGCAAACTCAAGAGGTCTCCTTAAAAGGACAACTCAGAGAAACAAGATCAGGGAAATCGGAAATTTATAAAGGAAACCCAAGGCACTGGTTCCCCCCTAAGGAGAATTGCTTGGGAGTAACTGGGAAATTTCTGGTTGCTGTTGTGAAACGGGGAGGAACCCCTCCCTGCATCTTACCTGCACATACCAGCATCTACCCCACAGGGCCTTCAAGACAACAGGGAGTGGGGGCATTCTTTTGTATGTTGCCCATTCATACTTCTTCTCCATTGTCTACATCTGATTATTTCAGGGCCAAGAGTGATATATGTGATAAGAACAAACCCTAGCTCCCGAACTTTCCTATCCCTTCCATTTGCTGTGGAACATTCTTGGCCCTTATCTTTTTGGATAATGCTTTTTCTGCATCCCAGTCACACAAATCGTATACTTTGAGGTTCTTTTTAGGCTCTGATTGGAAAGGACTAAGCCTTCTATGTCGAGGAATTTCAGTTCTGGTTCTGTGGTTCAGTTCTGCTGTGGAGCAGTCATGCAGCTTGGAGTCTATCTCTGGACCACGCAGGCTGAGGGAGTCTGTGTGCACAGGTGCCTGTGACCTGCAGTGAGAATGCTTATTTTCATATCACTTCCTAAGTTTTCATACGACGACCATCTTAGGTCATCTCATCGCAACCCTGGAAGCGGGTAAAGCTGCTATCAACATTCCCATTTTACAGATGAGGAAACTGAGGGTTAGGCAGGTGAAATGATATCTTCAAGTCCATGGCAAGTTAGAGATAGAGCTGGGTTCATGTATCGGGCACCCCACCTCTGTGCCTGGTGCTTTTCCCTCCACACCATTCTGCCTCTGCATGTTTGTGCAGCCTAAATGGACACCCAGCTCTACTCCCAGCTTTCTGCCAACCTTATCACAAACACCCGTGAAGCTTCTCTGCCCTTACCCCACCACCCTCGTGGTGGCACACCATGCCCACACACTGGAGGAGACAAAGTTCCTTCCTCCCCTTCCTCTCGGTCCCTGTATCCAAAGACATCGACCACTGCTGCTGACAGACCTCAGGCAAAGGCAAAGGAATTGCTGACCCAGCTCCCAAAATTTATGCCAACATTTTCATAGCGTTTCTGAGTAGAAACAATGCTCAACACCATCTTTCTTGGCATTACTTTTTATTGAATACTGACTTACAGTCTTTAAATCATTTAAATATAGTGTTTTCAATTTATAATTATTTAGTCATATATAGAGCTATTTAGAGCACAAAACTATAACTTAGAATGGGAAGCTATAAATGCACATGTACAATATTGCCATAAATCTAAAATCATTTTATAAAAATAGAACTCAAATAACTATATATTTTGGCAACATAGCAGTATTGTAAGGTGGCCACGTACATTTTTATTATGCAGCACTGTCCCAAAATGACTGTCTCCGGGTTTTATTTCCCATATCTTTGGGGACAGTCTTCTCTACCAGGGTCCCCATAGAGATCCCCATGGCCATGGCTCATTGTCGCCTTTGCATAAAGACTCTGTGCACCCAATTTCTGCTTGGAGGTGGAAGGCCAGCTTCCAGCCTCTCCCTCCGAGAGTGGGGGTCCCTCCTGCCATATGTCCCCCATAACACTTCTCGAAGCCCTCACAATGCACGGTTGATAACTGAATATAAAGTCAGCTTCCTTTCCCTATGCTCAGAGAATGACAGATGTGAGTTTGGTTCTGTCAAATCAGTATAAAAAGTTTGAAATAAAAATCACTCAAACGGTGCCCATGGGGAAATGTCATCCTGACAGTGGGTACCAGTGCCCGCCTGCATGGGCAAAGCCCTTTGCACACACATGAGCTACAATCCTCAGCCGTAGAAGGTTGGGATGTTTTGTCTCTGCCTGCCCAGAAATCCCTGGAGGGAAACCGGAAAGGCACTCAGATCTGCACTGTGGTCACTGGGTGAGAACAGACACGTGGCTTTGGGTCCACTTACAGCAGGTGGGCAGCAGTTCCCCAGGCATTCCCAAGGGAAGCAGGAAGGCGGGTGTCTGAGGGCGGGAGCATGGACCTACAGACCAATGACTTCGATGGGCGGTGCCAGAATCTCCCAGATTATCCAATAGAAGTCCGCAATCCAAAACCAGGGGCTCGAGGAATTGACTGCTTGGGGGCTGCCTGTATTTTCAAAGAGTTGAGCAAAGGTCAAAATGCCTGCCCCCATCTCTGCCCTGCCTGCTTCAACACAGGTCAAAGTGCAGACAGCATGCTCAGTAGCCCAAAGAAGCGGCAGGTACAAGGTCCCTGGGCCAGAGCGGAGTGCTCCGAATGTCACAGAGCACAGCAGGATGGGTTGGGGACGACTTTTTCAGGACTCTCCCTGCCCCCACCCAAGGCTTGCAGTGATGAGAGCTGGCTCAGCACCTTCTCTAGAGGGAGGCAGGCTGCCTCAGCTGTTCGCAGTTTGATTTTTCTGGTTGCTTCCCCACTCCGTTGTTCTTTTAGATTTCCCGGGAAAACATGCCCCAATGGGAAGCTCTCGGCAGTCACAGCCTCTCAGGACAGTCTTAACTCTGGTTCTGTGGACTGCCTGCTCCTCCATCAGTGTTGGCTCTGGACCTTCCCCTCTGCTGGCCTGCTCCTGCCAGCTGTCCCCTTGGCCCCGAGGCCAGAGGAGAGGCCTGCCCTGGGCTCCTCCACGTGGGTTTTAGCTAGAATCCCTGGACAGCATCCTCCACATAAGGGAACGCGGCTGTCCAAGGATGTCCTGCTTGGGCCCACGAGATCATCACTTGAAATTCATGTCCCAGCAGTGTTCTCAAAAACCTCTCTTACGGATGAATGAAACAAAATAAATAACAGAAAACTCCCAGCTCAACCCTCTCTCATCCCCTCTAGAAGGAGGATCACCTATCGGGCATGTTTTGTGTGAAGGGGAGTGAGAGAGCACCAGAAAAAACGCTAGTGGCAAGCTCCTTGGGAAAGTGGACCGGGCCTCCCTCCATCCCTACTGCTTGCCCCGGGTGTGCTGTTCACTTGTGCCAGACGTCCCGGCATGGGCACGGCGGAAGCAGGAGCAGCAGCCACTCCAGGGCAGCGGCAGGGGTTCCTTCCAGAGGAGCTGGATGGCGATCTGAGCGTAGTGGACGGCCGCCCTGGGAGCGAAGATGAAGCGTGCCCTTGGGCCCAGGTCGCTGTACTTTACATTCACTCGGGCCGTGTGTGGGGCAGGGAGTGCTCACAGAACTGGATGGCTCAGGGCAGCTGCTCTGAATGATCAGACTGCTTTGAATCCGAAAACAAAGCCCTCTCCGAAAGAAAAGAAGTAATGAGCTGGAGTTAGCCTCTTCCTTCATGATTCATTAGGTACATTGCACTTAATAAGGTAACGTCTTCTTCTGTTGGGCAAAATCATGACCTGGCCATGCTAGGTCCCACTAGGGAAGCAAACACCGGCAGGAGCTTCTGAGCCATGCGGGGAAGTCAGGGCGCTCCCCACCCCGCCAGCTGCGCCAGGCAGCCCTCGCTCCCGGCTCCGCTGTAGCAGGGCTCGGGCAGCTCTATGACTGAAGGCAGTCCCCGTGCATAGTGAGGGACGTCCCTCCAGACACAGCTGCGTGTGCGCCTCAGGCCCTGAGGACGGGGGCTGCAGAGAGCTAGGGTGAGGGACGGGAGCAGGGGTTCAGCAGGGTCTGGCAGCTGCAGAATGCTAGGTTTGGGAGGTGACGTGAAGTGTCGGGAGTCACAGTTGGTGGCACTGGCCGACCCTTGTCGCCTTTTCCTTTGTGGCCAGGGGCTTGCCTGCCGCAGGTGGCGGGGGGCTGCAGAGGTCCCCCATTGCAGCGAGGCTTTCTCCCACAGCCTTTGCAAACTTGGCCGAAGAGGTCTCTTTGCAGCTGTGGAAGCTAGAGATGCAGAAAAGGATGCTCTCGGGCTGGGGGTTGTAGCAGGCACCATACCCATTGGGCACCACAGGCCCATAGCAGCAAAACATGTCCGTGGTGGTGGGCACCTGGAGGAGAGGAGCGGTCAGAAGCTGCTTGTTATGAAAGGCAGCCTGCGGGCCTGCTAGGATGCAGGGCACCCTAACAACCCGGGGCCTCGATGGAGCATTTGCTTCTCTGACTATTTTCTACCAAATCAATTGACTGCGTCAGCATGGATGGCCACCGCCGAGTCTTCACAACGAACCCCGCTAACTGTGTGATGTCAGAAGGGGCCATAAGCCACTCCTGGCGTGAAATCCGCTCAACTTGTGGAGTCAGAAGCTACTAGATTCACCTGCTGCCGGGTTTGGCTGAGTGTCTCTTTCACCTGGGGGCCGTTTGAGGCACCGAGGCAATCAGGGTAATTTACTAAATGGCACCCCGGTGACACCCACGGGTTCAATGGCTTCGCAGAGGGAGTAATTTGTGAACTGGAGGAAATCTGGCCTGTCTCCTCTGCTGATTTCCCCCGCATCCTTAATTACTGTCAGCACTGCTTGGCCGGTCTGCTCTCCTCCCCGCAGCCTGGCCACGCACAATTACCCAGCGCTGGCGTTTCAGAGTTTGCCGTTAATTGGAGACTTAGTTATGCACCTAATGTTTTGAATTCAGACTGCTGAGATTTTGTAATCTGATCACAAACCAAGAAAATGTGTTTCTGAAAGCATCCAAGTCATAACTGTTCATTTCCAGTTGAAAACAAAACAAAACAAACCAACAAAAAAACCCAAGCCACCGCAGCCCAGTGAATCTCACTAGCCGGTCCGAGGGGGAGAGACCACATTTGGGGCAGGTGCGAGGTGGGTGTGTTTCAACCACAGGGTCGGGCACCGTGCACTTGGGCCCTCAGGAGTGACTCTGCTTGGTTTAACAGGGCAGAACAAACCGTTAGCCCTGCTAATAGGGTCGCCTCATTGTTAGATGCGTTGGCCATGCGGCAGCCGGAGGCCAGAAAGCCACTCAGCACTTTTGCCCAGGGATGGTTTCCTGAGAATTTATGTTGTGCCCTCGTGTAGCACGTCTGTGAGCTCACTGCAGTGATGAGAACATCGAATTACTGAGTGGCTGTTATCCCCAAACACCTTTTATGAGCTCCTGTTACTGCCCTTGTCCGGCTTCCCACAGATGTGGTGGGGTTCTAGTAACCTGACCTCGGGGTGGGGTGCTTTCTCTCCTGAACGACTGCCTTAGTCTAATGGTTTCCTTCTGTGCTTGTGACAGGTCCTCCCACGGAACAAGCCCGCGGTGCTGGTTAGGAGATGCCGTGCTGGCAGCTAAATGCCCGCCATTGGTCGCGTGGCCCTTTATAATAAGGGCTGTGACCTGCTGGAGGGTCCTGTCCATGTCTGGCACTGGGTTGGGCTCTCCACCTACATCACCGCACCAGCTGAGCCAGGACTTCACTCTGGGCCTGTCAGGCCTCAGAGGTAACAGATCGAAAGATAGTAAGAGTCACAGTTAGGGCACTAAAATGGGCACTTTCCTGTCCTGTCCACCTCTGCTGAGGTGGTCTGTGACTACTCCCATTTAGAAGATGAAACCCAATGCTCGTGAGATTCAGATACGGGACTTGCCTGACTCCAACCAGTGGGCTGTATTCAATAAGCCCTTTAGAAAGACCACTCATCACACTAAGTGGCGCCTTGGGCGACGGCCACCGAGGTCTGTACCTGGCTGGTGGAGAGGACAAATTGATTGCTCATCAGGTATGTTTCATCCGTGAACATCTCGGGCAGGTCCTTGCACAAGTCCCGGGCCAGCTCCCGCAGCCCCAGCAGGTGGTTGTCGATGGCCATCCCTGTTATGGCCTGGGCGGTAGGGAACAAAGAACAGGACGTGAGATGTGGGCTCCCACGTGCCTCCCCTCCTCTCGAGTCCACAGCGCTGACAGGACTCCAGGGGCCACCGTGGCTCAGTGCTCGCTGTGGACAGTGTGGGCAGCAGCCCGGACTGACCACTTTATCATGCGGCTTCTGCTCCTTGGGCCCCTGCGGATTGGTCAGTGTGGTATTCTAGCATGAGTCTGTGTCCCTCATGTCCCTGCTGACGTGGGCCACGGGTAACCGCGTAGTGCTCTAAGTGAACGCGGCAGGCTGGCGGGGCCACCCCCGGTTCCGTCTCAGGTGTGGACGGATCTGGGGAGGGAGGGCAAGGGCTTGGCCCGGGGACTGCCAAGCCCCATACAAGCCCGGGAGAGACGCCCGGGCTGCCACTCGGAGACTCTCACCACAACCGACACCTTAGCCTCCAACAGGAGCCTGAGGACTGAGGACGGAGGGTGTTAGATCTCTTCCTGGATCTCAGCGGCTATTTCTTAGGCTCAGAACCAATTCAACTCCACTGGATTCAAAATCTAAGAAGTCATTTTGAGAACAGAAAGTAGACATCTAGCAGAGGCTCAGCTAGCGTTTTCATGGGGAAAGCTTGTTGAATGAAGAAAGGTTTTTTCTTTATATCACAAGGTATTTGAGTTCTTGTCAAAGGATAAGACACTAGCAACAGGGGCTCCGGAATCTCTCTGCAGGAGGGTGGTGGGGTGGCGGGCAGCTGAGCAGTGGGCCAGGAGCTCAGTCTACATCTCTCCCACTCGAGGCTGCAGGTACAGCTCACACACTGGCTTTGCTTGCATTACGTGTTTATTTGGGACAGTTTGGTGGGGGCCACCTCTGGCCTACAGTGATAACCTCTGGATCAACATCAGGGCAGTTGTGGGGTGGGGTTCACTTAGCTGTGAAGCCCCACGTATGAGGAAACCTCCCACCGCAGTGAACGTTGTTCAGGTCTGCAAGGCACGTTTGGGGATCTGCCAGCTGTTGCCCTCCGGCTGGGAATAAATACAGAAGGGTGACGCAGAGGCCCCCGTGTCTCCAACACGGCTGACTTCTCTGGTTACCTCTGCTCACTGGCTGACTCTAGATCCAAGGAAGCAGCCGCTCTGTGCAGCAGCCAACCCACCTCTGTCTTCACCATCTCTGAATTCACAGGAGCAACTGGGATTGACTTACAGACTGTTTGGATTAGAGCCATGAGTAGTGAGTATAACGACTCATCATTCAGAGAATCTTAACTGAGTGCCTACTATGTGCCTAGTGTTGCTGGGCACAAGTGACAGCAGAGCACAGAGCAGTCCTGGACTCCACGGAGCCTTGTGTGTGGTGGGAGGCAGGCAGTAACCGACCACTCAGATAAACTGGGGTCGTTGTGCGGGAGCCGTAGGGAGCCGAGAACGGATGTGATGGAGGTCTGGGGCACACTGTTCCTTCACTGCAGTGTCCTCTCTCCACCACCGCTGCCCAGCACACTTGCCAGATATTTGGAGGGTTCCTTGGTGCTTTCCCCTGTCCCTTACCTGCGTGGCCAGGCAGGCCCACAACTGACCGAGAGTATCTACATAGCTCTCCTCTCCCGGCCCCCATTTCTTACATTAGTTGTCCCCATCAACTTAAACTAGTTCACACAAAATAACTCTTTGGCAATGCTTTGGAGGATAGTTTTGTAAATGTTTTCCCTAAACATGGAAATTATTATCAAAGTTATATATTTATATAGTTAAAAAACCCAAATAAACCAAAGGCTATGTCACCTTGCCAGCAATGTTGCCCACACCACAGAGGCACCACACACAACGGTTCTGCCATTTACTTTCTTAGTTCTGAATAACATGAGCGGACAGCCATGCCTGCACTGTTTACTTCTACCTATGATCTTACTATAGAAGATGAACTTTGGCTCCCCAAAGACAGTCATACTTTCCCATCTTCCCAACTGTTACCTTTTAACTCTTTGTTGCTTGATCAACATTCAGTGTTTACACAATTAAAACTGTGCAAGTATATTCACAGCGGAGTCCTTAGTGTATTACGGTTAGAGTTGCTTTCATAATTTTTTAAATTTTCTCTAGAATTGATTATTTTAAAATGATTAAATAATGATTTTCCCCCTTGCTAAGCTTTCTATGTATCTATAGCTAATTGATTCTTAAATTCTCAGACAGAAGTATAAAACTTTCCTTGATGCATTAAAATATATCTGAAAATTTACATTTCATTTCTCTCACTCCTTGCTCTTCTATGGACTGACTGCTCCCTACTTCTGCTAAACAGTTGCCAACTTGGGATCTCCCTTTACCACCATCCTTTTTCTCTGCCTCTTGTAGTGAATCTTCTCAGTTTTGGATCCTCTGACTTTTTATTTTTTGTTTTATTCTTTTACTTGAGTGGTCTAAATCCTCCAATAGCTTCAAAAAAAAAGAGAGCTTAATAAGTAAAAATTTTGAGACCTCATCTGTCTGAAAATGTCCTTATTCTATCTTCAAAATAGATGATAGTTTAGCTGGGTATGGAATATGTGTTAAAAATCTTTATGCCTCAGAATTTGAAGTCATTGCTCCACCACCTTCCACCTTCCAGAGATACTGTTGAGAAGTCCCATCACCATGTTTTCCCCCAGAGTTATTTTTATTTATGGATGCAATAACATCCCTTATCTTTCAGAGGATTTCAATTATAATTTAAAAAAGTCCTCTGGCCCAGCCAGTGTGGCTCAATGGCTTGAACATTGTCCCATGGACTGAGAGATCCCAGTTCAATTCCCAGTCAGGGCACATGCCTGGGTTGTGGGCTTGATCCTCAGTAGGAGGTGGGTAAGAGGCAGCCAATCGATACTTCTCTCACACATTGATGTTTCTATCTCTCTCTCTTTAAAAAATCAATAAAAACATATTAAAACAAATGTCCTTCTGTTTGCTGCATTGTTTTTATTCCCTTTAAGTTTCTTTTAAATTATTTTAAAAATCAAACAAAACTACTGGTTTGTACTGGTTTTAGTCTTTTATGTTAGCAGCTCTCCTCGGTGTCTGATGATTTGTGGCTATCTGTTTATGCTTGAAAACAAAGTTCTGAAAATATGCATAGAGGAGTGGCAATGTGCTTGTCAACTGGTGGACTTCACTGTGAGGTCCTGGCTCGACTTTTTCCACTGTTCTCTTGGCCTGGTCAGCTTCACCACTTAGAACTCTTCCAATATCCTGCTTGGGGAGAGGTGGTAATAAAGGTGGTTACCAGTGTACCTGGAGCTAAGTGGCTGGAGCATTTACTATTAAGTAAGCAGTCTTTGATGAATCCCCTATTTTGGGGACAGTATCCATTCCCTCAGCAGTACCTGGTGTCCCCATGTCGAGAGTCCTTCATCTTCAACCTCTCCGGGAGATAAGCGTCTAGTCCACCCTTGGAGAAAGGGAGGGTAGTAGCCTGGTTGCATGGGGTAGTGAAGAGGAACTGGAAGTCTGTTTCTTATACAGATCATCAAACAATCCTCTTCTTTTCAGTCTCACATGCACCCCTACTTTTCGTGGGCAACCCAGTGTCTGAGGTTCCGCAGAGTAGTTCGTTGAGCTCCTGGGCCTCCCTCACAGTTTGCTTGGGCTCAGTTTTCTCTGGTCTGCTAAACGAGTTGCCCTCTGCTTCACTTTTCAGCCCCAAACCCTGCTGCCAGCTCCTTCCTGTTCTCTTTGTCCTACTGGATTGTGGCTTATAAATCCCTTTGCTTGTATTTTTGAGGGCTTTAGGGGGAATGACAGGAAACTTGTGTGTTCAACCCACCACAGTTTTTTTTAATCCTTACCTGAGGGTTTGCTTATTTATTTATTTATTTATTTATTTAGTTTTGAGAGAGAGAGAGAGAAACATCAATCAGTCACCTCCCATATGCACCCCTACTGGAGATTAAACCCATAACCTCCCTGGTGTATATTCCACCCAACTGAGCCACCTGGCCAGGGCTCAGTCCACCATGTTTAATCAGAATCTTGTGCTTCCTCTTCAGCCCCCTGCTCCTGTTCTACTTCAGTCCTTACCTTAACTCTTTCTAAATATATAGGTTCCTCTATGAACAGTGTTGGGGTCTCCTGGCAGACCACCACGTGCTCCAACCAATCCTCCTTCCACTTGGTCATCAGAGTAGCGTTGTGACAGGACAATCCAACACCGTGAGCTCTCCTGCTCCTGTTCTTTGCACACATTGAATTACTTGCTTTTCCTCCAATGTGTCTTATTCTCTCAAGACTTCATCTCTGGGGCATCCTTCCCTTCTATGACTGTTACAAGCCCCTCCTCTTCCTTCATGTCTCATATTAAACACCACTTCCCCCAGGAAGTCTTCTTGGCTTTCCCAAGAGGAGAAACAAGCAGCTCTTGCATGCTCTCTACTACTTCCTGAGGGATCCTTTTACATGGGATTGGATTTATCATTGAAGGGCTTCTCCTCCTAAGTACCCACCTAACTCCCCAGTGACAGGGCTTACGGACTGCACCTTTTATTTCCTAACACCACGCACTTTATCTGGCATAAAACAGAAAACCAAAGCTACCCACTGAATACACGAGTGAGCTTGGTTTTCCCCAAACAGAACAAACACTTCGCCTTCGGGCGAATTAGGGATCTATATTAGAGAATCTACTGAATTAGAGGAAAGTCTGTATTAGCTAGCTCTGAGACCAGATTTGCATTGTACAGTACTTGCTTTCAACTATATACAGTGAAATCGGTCAACAACTTTTCAAATACTGTGTCAGAATGATTTGCAGTGAATACATTGATCGCCAGGCCAGCTTATTCTGTTGTTCATATGCTCGCTTGCAGTGCTAGAGAATAATTGTCTCTAAACTACAGAAGCATTCCCTTACCAACTTGATGTCACCGCGGTTTTCAGAAAAGACTTTTTATTTACAGCAGTATAAATAACAGCGCGGAGGATAAGAAGGCAGATCAGCCCTGGGGGGAGCAGGTGCTGCCTCCCCTGTGTCTGCGCGGGCACCAGCCACTGCAGCTTGCCAGCCCGGCGCAGCCCTCACACGCGACTTCTCTTGTTGTGTCAAGTACAATGCTCTACACGCTTGCTGCTATTCTTAGTGTTGTTGTTTCAAAGACCATTCCTTGTATTCTCGTGAAAATGTGTAGAAAGCAGGTGTGCTGTGCTACCTAGGTCCCAGAAATACGAAGGAGGCTCTGAGAGGCAGGCGGCCTTGCCGAGTGGCTGGACAGTTGGTGGCTCAGCTGTCACCCCGCTTGTGCTGTGGCCCTGCTCTAGCACAGCCCGCAGCCAGGAGCTCAGGGAGGCGGCGCCTCATCACTCACCAGGACTGTGTACTCGGTCTGGGCGCGGAGGGCATCCTTCAGGAGCACCAGCTTCTCCGAGGCCTGCAAACAGACCAGACGCAAAGCACAAGGGGTTTCAAGAGGCTGCTCAGTGACCGGCCAAAGGGGCTGGAGGTCACGCAGTGGAGCAGCGGGGCGGCTTCCTTGAGACTCCTGGACGAGAGGACTTACCGGCACAGCAGCCTTGGGGTCAGTGATGGCTTTCACAAAACTCAGCGCCTCTGGCGTGGCCGAGCGAATGTTGTCCACCCGTCCCTCCCGGAATCGGCGAATGGATGCGCTCTCGTAGGTGGGTGCGAGCCTGCCGTGGAGCCTGCGGCAGATGAGGGATGGGTGGCAAATGGTGACGCCTTCCCCGGACTCAGAACCGCGGGAGGACAGCCGCAGAGTCTCCACTTCGCTGGGCACAGCATTTCATTTCAACACTAACAGAATTCTAGAGGAGGTTCCCCAGAGATGAATTTTGGGGAGAGTTTAATATTAAGAGCTATGTAGATCTCCATACGTTGGTGATACTGCACAGATATAAAATAAAGAAATGACTGGTAGCTTAAAAAAAAAAACCCAATCTGGTGGGAAACCTAGAATTTTCTGCAAGACCTGATGAATGTTTGATTAATAGCACAGAATGGAATAATTGTGTAATTAATCATTCACACCCTTGAGAGAATCAACAATTCAAGAACGAACTATGAGGCAGGGAGCAGCCTCCGCGATCTGGTGCAAACTCCTGCACCGTCCAGGGGCGCCTGGGCCTCCACAGGCCATGGGCACTGTGGGTGTGCCTCTCCTCCCTAAGCCTGCAGCAAGAGGAAAGAGCTGTGACCGGAGCAGCACTGGCCAGTCCCCCCAGCAGCTAGGGAAGGTCTCTTCCTGGTGCACATGAGCTGAACAAGCACCCTAGGCTTGTGTACCTGGCTGGCACACACTTTTCTTTCTTTGTTAAAATTTCTTAAATTAGCCCTGGCCAGTTTGGCTCAGCGGTTAGAGCGTCAGCCTGCAGTCCACAGAGACCGGGGTTCGGTTCCCGCTAAGGGCATGTACCTTGGCTGCAGTTTGTCCCCGGCCCTGGTTGGGTTGTGTGGGTGGTGGCCACTCGATGTGTCCCTTTCACATCCATGTTTCTCTCTCTTCCTCTCTCTCCCTCCCACTCTATCTGAATAAAAATAAAAAAAAATTTCTTAAATTAATTTATTTTTGTTACAGATGTTTCTCCTTTTCCCCTCAAAGACACCCTCCTCCTGTGCCCCCCTCCCCCAGCAGTGTTGTCTATATCCACTGGTTATGCTTATATTAATAACTTCTTTGGTTTACCTCCTCCTTTCCCCCACCACCTCCTCTGAAGTGTCAGTCTGAACCCTACTTCTATGTCTCTGGGTCTATTCTGTTCATCACCTTATTTTGTTCATTATCTTCCACAAATAAGTGAGATCATGTGATACTTGTCTTTCTCTGATTGGCTTATTTCACTTAGCTTAATACTCTCCAGGTCCTTCATATTGTCTCAAAGGATAAGAGATCTTTCTTTCTTACACCTGCATAGTATTCCATGGTGTATACGTACCACAGGTTTTTTATCCATTTGTCTACTGATGGACACTCGGCTGTTTCCAGATCTTAGCTATTGTAAATAGTGCTGCTATGAACATGGGGGTACATATGTTCTTTCTGACTGGTGTTTCAGGCTTCTTAGAATATATTCCTAGAAGTGGGATCACTGGGTCAAATGGCAGTTCCATTTTTAATTTTTTGAGGAAATAACACCTGTCTGCATTCCCACCAGCAGTGTACTAGAGTACCCTTTTTTTTTTTTTTTTTTTTATCCTCACCCGAGGACATTTTTCGATATTTTGTTCAGATAGAGTGAGAGGGAGAGAGAGAGAGAGAAACATCGACGTGAAAGCAACACATCGAGTGGTTGCCACCCACATGACCCAACCAGGGCTGGGGACAAACTGCAACCAAGGTACGTGCCCTTAGCGGGAACCGAACCCAGGTCTCTCCGGACCACAGGCCGACGCTCTAACCGCTGAGCCAAACCGGCCAGGGCTAGAGTACCCTTTTCTTCACACCCTCGCCAGCACTTGTTGTGTAATGACTTGTTGATGGCAGCCATTCTGGCAGATGTGAGATGATACCTCATAGTCGTTTTAATTTGTATCTCTCTGATGATTAGTGATGTTGAGCATTTTTTCATATGTCTCTTGGCCATTTGTATGTTCTGTTTGGAGAGGTGTCTATTTAGGTCCTCTGCCCATTTTTAAATTGGATTCTTTGTCTTCCTTTTGTTGAGCTGAAAGAGCACTCTATATATTTTGGAAATTAACCCCTTATCTGATGTATCATTGGCAATTATGCTCTCCCATATAGTGGGTTGCCTTTCCATTTTGATGGTTGTTTCTTTTGCTGTGCAGAAGATTTTTAGTTTGATGTAGTCCCATGTGTTCATTTTTTCCTTTGTTTCTCTTGCCTTAGGCATTGCATCGGTAAAAATTCTGCTGCATATGATGTCTGAAATTTTATTGCCTACATTTTCTTCTAGGATTTTTATGGATTCACGAGTCACATTTAGGTTCTTTAATTTGTAGAGATTTACTTTGTGTCATAACATGTGGTCTATCTTCAAGAATGTCCCATGTGCATTTGAGAAGAATGTATATTCTGCAGCTTTGGGGTGAAATGTTCTATAAATATCAATTAAGTTTAACTGATCTATTTCATCATTTAAGGACTCTGTTTCCTTGTTATTATTATTATTATTATTATTATTTTGGTCTAGAAGATGTATCTAGTGGTGTCAGTAAGGTGTTAAATTCACCCACTATGATTGTATTGCTATTGATCTCTTCCTTGAAGTCCTCCAGAAGTTTTAAAATATGTTTTGGTGCTCCTGTATATGGTGCATATATGTTTACCACAGTTATATTCTCTTGTTGGTTTGATCCCTTTAATGTTATGTAGTGATTTTCTTTGTCTCTTATTAATGCCCTAATTTTGAAGTCTATCTTATCAGATGTGAGTATTGGTACACCAGCTTTTTTTTCACTTTCATTTTCCTGGAAGATTTTTTTCCATCCCATCACTTTCATCCTGTGTGAGTCTTTTGTTGTGAGGTGGGTCTCTTGTAGACAGCATATATATGGGTCATGTTTTCTTATCCAATCAGCTACACTATATCTTTTGATTGGAGCATTTAAGCCATTTACATTTAAGGTTATTATTGATAGATACTTATTAGTTGCCATTTCTACTTTATGCCTGTGTTCCTCTCTCTCTCTCTCTCTCCACAAATATATATATATATATATATATATATATATATATATATATATATATATTCTTCTTACAACAGTCCCTTTAGCATTTCTTGCAGTACTGGTTTGGTGGTGGTAAATTCTTTTATTTTTTGTCTGTGAAGCTTTATTTCACCTTCAATTTTGAATGATAGCCTTGCTGGATAGAGTAGTCTTGGATTCAGAACCTTGCCTTTCATTACTTTGTATACACCATGCCGCTTTCTTCTGCCCTGCAGTGTTTCTATTGACAAATCAGCTGACAGTCTAATGGGAGCACCTTTGTAGGTAACTTTCTGTCTCCCTCTTGCTTCCTTTAAGATTCTTTCTTTGTCTTTAATGTTTGCCATTTTTATTATGATATGTCAAGCTGTGGGTCTTCTGGGGTTCAACTTGCTGGGACTCTCTGTGTTTCTTCGACTTGTGTGACTTCTTCCTTTACCAAATTAGGAAAGTTTTCTGTCATTATTTCTTCAAACAGGTTATCTATTCCTTTCTCCGATTCTTCTCTTTCTGGTACCCCTGTGATGCTAATGTTGTTACATTTCATATTGTCCCAAAGCTCCCTTAAACTCTCCTCCTCCTTTTTAATTTGTTTCCCATTTGCTTCTCTATTTGGGTGGGGTTTTTTTGTACCTTGTCTTCTAACTCATTGATTTGGTCTTCAGGTTCTTCTAATCTACTATTGAGACGTTCTAAGGTATTTTTTCATATCAGCTATGCCGTTCTTTATTTCCATTTGATTTGTATTCATAGCTTCTACCTCTTTTTTTAAACCGATGTAGTTCCCACTGAGCTCTTGATAATTCTCATTAAGTTGCTTGTAGTTCTTACTAAATTGTTTGAGTAGCCTTAAAATCATTGCTTTGAACTCTTTATCTGACAAGTTGCTTCCATTTTATGTAGTTCCTTTTCTGGTGATTCCTCCTTTCTTTCATTTGGGTGTTGTTTCTTTGTCTCACCATTTTAGCCGTCTGGTAGTTCTAGGACCAGCGAGGGATGTTGGGGTGTGTAGGCAGGTCAATGTGTATGAAATAAGGCTATTGTGCCTCCCAGACTGTTTTGGTGCTTGGTGCCTCTTGCCTGCTGTGGGTCCTGGAGAATTGACAACTAGCAGCTGGTATTGGTCTGTTGTTGTAGGTGCTGCTGGGGTGCATGGTTCCCACTGGTGCACTGCTGGGGTGTGTGGGTCCAGCTAACGTGCCGTTGGGGTGTTCTGCTGCCTAGTGGGGTTCAGCTCCTGATCAGTCACTGCTGATGCTGCTGGGGATGAATGTCAGCTCCTGGTTTGCTCTGCTACTGTTGCTGCGGTTGCTGGGGGGTGCTCTCAGCTCCCAATCCTTTGCTGCTGTTGGGGGCTCAGGATGCTCAGCTCTTGGGATTTTGCTGCTGCTGGAGGAGGGGCTCCACTCCAAAATTCACTACTGCAGTTGTCAGGGGCTGGTCTCGGCTGCCTGAGTCTTGCTGCTGCTTGGGCTGGGCCATTGCTGCTGATCAACCTCTGCTGATGCTGCCGGGGATAGGTTTCAGCTGCCAATCTGTGCTGCTGCTGCCTGGGGATGGATGTCTGCTTCAGAGCCTCTGCTGCTGGGGTTGTGTCTCAGCTCCAGAGCCTCAGCTGTTGTTGGGGGTGGGGCTCCACTCCCTCCTGTCACTGCTGCCATGGGGGAAGGTGCTGGGCTCCCAAGCTGGTGCTGCTGCTGGGGGTTGTACTCGGCTCTGATCAGGCTGCTACTGTGAGGGATGATGCTCAGCTCCAGGTTGGTTGCTACTTCCCCAAGCAGGCACCTTGACAGCATTGCTACTGTGTGCTGGTCTGCATCAACACAGTGGGATCCACTGGTCTTATGTTGCAAGGCGCACTTGTGGACTCAGGTTGCTTGGCCCTAGATGCTTCCTGCTGCCTCCTCCCAAAGAAGAAGACCAACCAGGGATCTTCCAAGATGGTGGGGTCTTCTGGCTGAGCAGGGAGCAGCACCCTGACAAGCTGCTTATCATGGTAGCTAGCTGCTCCCTGTCCACAGCATAGGGACCCTCTGCCCCATGTTTCTGCACTGCTTGAGGTTGCTTGTCCACACTCATGTTCATTCACACTCTCTCATACTCTCACACCTCACCCTTGCTCCAGTCCTGCCCACCGCTATCATTTTCCCACACACTTTTCTTTACCAGCCAGTAAAGTCGTGAGTGTTGGGTTGAGGGAAGGCAAAGACACAGAACTCAGAGAAGAGCAGTGACAGCCCAAAGTCAGAGCAAGTTATGACCCACATCTTGGCTACCTCAGGGCAGTTTATCCCGCACTGGGTGAGCTCCAGGAGAGTGGATGGCCAGGTCTGATTGGGCACAGTGTTTAGATCTGTATTGCTTGGTAAGCAAGTGAATAAACTTCCATTATACTTATATCTCATTTTCCCAAGACACTGGAAGGGAGCTCATTTCCTGTGCCTCTATGGCCTCTGGAGGTGAATGCTATGCCAAGCACAAAAATAGATGCCGTCACTGGCTGGGTACTGAACAACCCCAATTTAGGCAGCTTTCAGGTTTTCTGCTGAATCTAAGAGTAGGTTTTAAAAAATTTGTTACAGCTTAATCCAAATGGGAAAGGAGGAAGTGAAACTGTCATTATTTGCAGATGATATAATATTGTACATAGAAAACCCTAAAGACTCCGTAAAAAACTACTATATTTAATAAACAAATTTAGCAAAATAGCAGGATATAAAATTAACAGCCAGAAATTGTTGGCATTTTTATATACCAATAATGAACACACAGAAAGAGAAACTAAAAATACAATCCCATTTACCAATGTAATAAAAAAAATTAAGATACTTAAGAATAAACTTAACAAAGGAGGTAAAAGATCTGTTCTCAGAAAACGATAGGACATTGAAAAAAGAAATAGAGGAAGATACAGAAAAGTAGAAGCATATACCATGTTCATGGATTAGAAGCATATACCATGTTCATTAAAATGTTCATACTACCCAAGCAATCTATGGATTCAATGCAATTCCTATTAAAATACCAATGGCATATTTCACAGATCTAGAACAAATAGCCCAAAAATTTATATGGAACCAAGGAAGACCCCGAATAGCCACAGAAATCTTGAAAAAGAAGGACAAAGTAGGAGGGATCACAATACCAGATAGCAGGTTTTACTACAAAGCCACTGTAATCAAAACAGCCCGCTACTGGCACAAGAACAGGTAGACAGATCAATGGAACAGAACAGAGAACCCAGAAATTGACCTAAGACATCATACCTCAATTACTATTTGGCAAAGGTGGCAGGGCACACAATTGAGTAAAGACAATCTCTTCAATAAATGGTGTTGGAAAAATTGGGCAGCTACATGCAAAAAAATGAAACTAGATCACCAACTTACACAATCCACAAGAATAAACTCAAAATGGTCAAAAGACTTAAATGTAAGTTGTGAAACCATAAAAACCTTAAAAGATAATGTAGGCAGCAAAATCTCAGACATCACATATAGCAGAATTTTCACTGATACAGTGCCTAGGGCAAAAGAAACAAAGAAAAAAAATTAATAAATGAGAGTACATCAAACTAAAAAGCTTCTGCACAGCAAAAGAAAACAGTATCAAAATAATAAGGGAACCCTATATGGAAGAACATATTTGCAAGTGATGCATTGGATAAGGAGTTAATTTCTTAGATATATAGAGTACTCATACAACTCAACAAAAGGAAGACAAAAAATCCAATTTAAAAATGAGCAGAGGACCTTAATAGACACTTTTCCAAAGAGGACGTAGAAATGGCCAGAGACATGAAAACATGCTCCACATCACTAATCATCAGAGAAATACAAATTAAAATAACTATGAGGTATCACCTCACCCCTGCCAGAATGGCTGCCATCAACAAATCATCAAACAATAAGTGCTGGCGAGGATGTAGAGAGGTACTCTAGTACACTGCTGGTGGGGATGCAGACTAGAAAATCTACTACAGAAAACAGTATGATGTTTCCTCAAAAAATTAACGATGGAACTGCCATTTGACCCAGTGATTCTACTTCTAGGAATATATCCTAAGAAGCCTGAAACACCAATCAGAAAGAATATATGTACCCCTATGTTCATAGCAGCACTATTTACAATAGGTAAGATCTGGAAACAGTTCACGTGTCAATCAGTAGATGAGTGAATGAAAAAGCCGTAGTACATTAACACAATGGAATATTATGCAGCTGTTAGAAAGAAAGATCTCTTACCCTTTGAGACAACATGGAGGGACCTGGAGAGTATTATGCTAAATGAAATAAGCCAGTCAGAGAAATACAAGTACCACATGATCTCACTTATTTGTGGAATATAGTGAACAAAATAGATCCAGAGACCTGGAAGTAGGGAACAGTCTGACAAACCTTAGAGAGATGGGTGTGTGTGTGTGTGGGGGGGGGGAGAGATAAACCAAAGAACTTGTATGAATAAATACATAAACAATGAACACAGACAATAGTGTGGTGAAGGCAGGGTGGGGGTGGGGGAACAGGGAGGACAGTGCCAATGGGGGGAAAAGGAAGGACATCAGTAATAAAAAAATGAAAACCAAGATCTGGTAAAAAAAAAAAAGAAAAGAAAAACAAAATTGTTAAAGCATGGACTCTGAAGAATGTTCCCCATGGGAAGCAGATCATGTCTTGGCTATTCAACAAGCCGAGAAGCCTCTGGCCACATCCATTCCTGGGCGTCTCCAGTGACAACCAAGGTCACATGAGGAGGGGTACTCTGTGTAGGTTCTTCTTGGCTTTGCTCTGAAGCTCTGACGTGCTCATTGAGTAGTGTCCCCAGTCATGGCTCCAGCAGGACCTTGACCTCATGGCCCATGTCAGTCCATTGCTCTATGAGTATCAGAATGGCACTGACTGCATGCAGTTCCAGACACCAGGGTCTGCCACGGTTCTATGCCAGCAAGGTCTGTGTCCCAGCAATGTGAGGTGACGTCAGACCTCCCCAATAAGTTGTAAGGGGAAAGATGCTCAAAGCGGCTGCCCCCTCCCCCTAGAATTACAGCCCCACTTGGGACACTAGAATCCGATGCTGTGCCCACACAGGTGCTGCCTGCTCTTGAGTGAGGCTCCCCTGCTCTGGCTTCAGACAGAGGCCTTCATGCTCCCCTGGACACTGCAGACCGCGAGCAGATCGCGGGGACTACTGTTTGCCGGTCATGCCAGTTTATGAGCTGCTGCCTATGGAACACTGACGCCCGCCTACCTTGAGGAAGGTCTACTTTGCGTGTTAGTTTCCGTGTCCTATAAAAGGCGAGTCAGCTGCCCTACTCCGCCTCCAACCTTACTCCCTCTCACTGTACAGGTTCTTCTGTCACAGGCCTGATCGCGCCACCCCTAGCTAACACTCACGTGGTGTCTTCTCGTGCTTGCCCAGTACCTGAGGCCTACTCTGTGCCAGGTGTGCGAGATACCCAGAGTCATGCTTGGGAGAGACTTCTGGAGAGCAGTCAACAAGTCAATGGACAAGGTAGTTCACATGAATAACAACAGCCACAAAAGAAAAAGAGAACACAACTGTGTGACAGAGAACTGGGTGAGGGGCCGGAGGTGCACGCTCAGGTGAGGGGTCATGAGAGGCCTGTGCAGCTGACACCTGAGTGGGGGAGCAGCTGGCAGGTGGAGAGTGGTGGCCGGCGGATGGGCAGAGGCACAGCTGGGGCAATGGTCCAGAGATGGGGGGACTTCAGGAGGGTCCCAGGACAGACCAGCTCACAGGGAGCCTTTCTAGGCCTCGACTTTGTTCTAAGCATGGTGGGAAGTCATTGGGAGGGTTCAAGGTGGTAAATGATGGAATGCGATTTGTGTATTTCCAAGTTCATGCTTTATTAAGACGGGATACAGTGGGTGAGACGGGAGGAAGGCCCCCGGGAGCATGCTGCCGTCGACCCAGCACGAGACAGCAGGGCCTTGAGAGGGGCCGACAGTGGTGAAGGTACAGGTGAAGGTGAAGGGCAAAGAAACGCATGGAAAATAACTGACCTGGTGGGGAATGAGAGACAGGGAAGAATCAAGGGTGAGTCCAAAATCTTTGACTTGACCCTTTGAGGGATGCTCATTCCATTTCATTATTGAGGCCAGAAAAGCAGGGGAGGTCACATCACAGCTACAGGGCCCCAGTGGACTGGGTGGGTCAGGAGGGTAGCATCTTCTCAATGTGATGTCCCCATCGCCTGCCTGGCCTCTGGTCCTGCCCTTTGATCTCGGTGCCCCTGGGCCACCATTTAGGCCTTGACTGACTGTGACATCTTTCCTCCTCTTTTCTGAGGTTTTCTACCTTGAAACCCCATTAGGTGGCACCTCCTGCCAGCAGTCTGCCCTGGTCTTCCTCCCTCCCTCTAGGCCCACAGAAAGCCTCCCCCTCCAGGGTCTGTCCAGACTCCAGAGTGTAGCGCAGCCTGTGAGTCGGCCCAGCCGCGCAGGCTCTGCTCACCTGTAGAAGGCCAGCTGGAGGGCCACCTGAATAAAGGCGTCGGGGCTGCATTTCTGCTGCTTAATGAATGTTTTCCCGTAGCTATCAAACTTGTACACAATGAAGTCGAGATTCTGTACTATTCTGTGGGAGAGAAAACATGTTTTTATTTCACGCAAAACAGAATGCATACATCAGGCTGTCACCAAGTTCCTTGAGCCTGGTCTGTCTTAGCACGAAGGTCAGGGCACAGCCCCTGCCCTCCAGGAATGGGCTGGAGTGTAGACACTTGTGGGCACCTGGAAGTGGCAGAGGGCATGCTGGACCAGGGTTACTCTGAGCTGAGGTGAGGCTTGGCTGGGCGGGACGGTGGCCCTGCTCTGGGGCTCAGGGGGGCTGGGTCTAGCTGCAGGGAGGGACTTGGGGGCAGGAGAGGATTTTGCATGGGCAGGGAGAACACCACCAAACAGGAGCCCGCTGCTCGCAGAAGTAAGCCTGAGAGAGGACGTTCATTCCACATGTTTGGGGGTGTGTGCAGCATCCCTGAGGGTTCTTTGGGCATCCTGGCCTCCTGCCGGATGCACAAACCCTCTTTGTCCAGGGAAAAGCCCTTTCTCAGGTGGTGGCCAGTAGTGCTCCTCACTGAGACTCATCCCTGCTGAGCTCTGGGAAGAAAGGCCTGGGGCAGGGCCGCTGGTCACGGTCACCACAGTGAACTCTGCTTGCCGGTGACCAAAAGTCCACCTCACCCAGGAAACTGCTGCTTGGCTGCCATGACACGCCCAGGTCTTGCTGCCTGTGCATCACTGTCAGAGTAGCAGGAAGATCCCCTGAGTTTGCACTGAGACCCTGGAGCACTGGTCTCTCCCTTCCTGCCCCCACAGTGACTGGTCTCCTCCTTCATACTGAGCTTGGGGTCTGGGCTGGCTGCACGCCGCAGCAACAGCCACAAGGTCCACACCATCTTTCCACCAGCTGTGTAAGCGCAGAGCCTGGGGGCAACCTTGGGCCCCACTTGCACTCACTCCCTAAGGACCTGATGCTCCCTGCCTGCCCCTCCCGGAAATACTTCTTCTGCCTCACATGAGCCCAGCTCTCGGAGGGGCCATGCCAGGTTCTGGGGACTCAGCAGAACTCGGAGAGCCAGTTCCCCTGGGAACTCAACCCTCAGTCACCATCCCCACGCAGGCTGAGTGCGCGACCCCACAGGCACCTGGAAACCTTTCGCCCAGGCTCTGCCCACTCAGACTCACCCTTTGCCATGTGCAGCACAGGACCACCTTGCTTCCCTCTACAGGCCTCTTTCCTCCAGAGAGGGGAGCTGGGGGCCTCAGGGTCAAGTGGGGTCTGCTCAGATCCTGGAAAGTGAGCAGGCTTTTTCCTTTCCCTGGGGCTCAGCAACCAGTTCACCCTGCTAGTGGCCTGCTTATCCCCCAGCAGCTGCGTGAGGTTGAGATGTCAGCACCACCGTACAGTGGCTTGTCCTCCCCAGCCCTCAGCCTGCGAGCCCAGCCACATTGTCCAGCTCACCTGCCCTGTTCCCAGTCTCCTCCCTGGCTCTCTGAAACCCCTGCACAGAACCCTCCAGGGCTCCTCTCCGCCCCCAGGCCCTGACGTGGGGAGTGAGCTCTCCCCATGGGCTTCAGCTTCCCTTTAGTGCCCCCCAACTCTGGCCGTTCTCTCACTCGCCAGTCTCCAAAGCAGTCAGGATCTTTTATGAACCCACCCCTCCCTCAGCTGCCTGCAACACAAACTCCTCTCCATCCTTCAAGACCCATCATTGCAAAGCCCTCCCTCAATGTCCAGGCAGAATTCAGTTCCTGTGTCCTCTGTGGGTTCCTGTTATTGCATCTTTGGTCTAGGGGTCCACTTCCCCCACTAAAGTACAAAGGCAGGCCCCTTGGCACATTCATTTCTGCGTCCTCGGAGCCTCACCACAGGTCTGGCACAGACTAGAGCTCTGCACATGTTGGTTGAATGAGTGAGTGAGTGAGTGAGTGAGTGAATGAGTGAGTGAATGAGTGAGTGAGTGAATGAGTGAGTGAGTGAATGAGTGAGTGAATGAGTGAGTGAGTGAGTGAGTGAGTGAGTGAGTGAGTGAATAAGTGAGTGAGTGAGTGAGTGAGTGTATGAGTGAGTGAATGAGTGAGTGAGTGAGTGAGTGTGTGAGTGAATGAGTGAGTGAGTGAGTGAGTGTGTGAGTGAGTGAGTGTGTGAGTGAATGAGTGAGTGAGTGAATGAGTGAGTGAGTGAGTGAGTGAGTGTATGAGTGAGTGAATGAGTGAGTGAGTGAGTGAGTGTGTGAGTGAATGAGTGAGTGAGTGAGTGAGTGTGTGAGTGAATGAGTGAGTGAGTGAATGAGTGAGTGAGTGAGTGAATGAGTGAGTGAGTGAATGAGTGAGTGAGTGAATGAGTGAGTGAATGAGTGAATGAGTGAGTGAATGAGTGAGTGTGTGAGTGAATGAGTGAGTGTGTGAGTGAATGAGTGAGTGAGTGAATGAGTGAGTGAGTGAGTGAGTGTGTGAGTGAATGAGTGAGTGAGTGAATGAGTGAGTGAGTGAATGAGTGAGTGAGTGAGTGAATGAGTGAGTGAGTGAATGAGTGAGTGAATGAGTGAATGAGTGAGTGAATGAGTGAGTGTGTGAGTGAATGAGTGAGTGAGTGAATGAGTGAGTGAGTGAATGAGTGAGTGTGTGAGTGAATGAGTGTGTGAGTGAATGAGTGAGTGAGTGAGTGAGTGTGTGAGTGAATGAGTGAGTGAGTGAATGAGAGTGAGTGAGTGAGTGAATGAGTGAGTGAGTGAATGAGTGATGAGTGATGAGTGAGTGAATGAGTGAATGAGTGAGTGAATGAGTGAGTGAGTGAATGAGTGAGTGAGTGAGTGAGTGAGGAGGAGTGAGTGAGTGAGTGTGAGTGGTGATGAGTGAGTGAGTGAGTGAATGAGGTGATGCGTGATGAGTGAGTGATGAGTGAGTGAGTGAGTGAGTGAAAGTGAGTGATGGTGAATGAGTGAGATGAGTGATGGAGGGGAGTGAATGAGTGCTGATGCGTGAGATGAGTGAATGAGTGAGTGAGTGGTGAGTGAGTATGAGTGAATGAGTGAAGTGAGTGATGAGGATGGTGAATGAAGTGAAAGTGAATGAGGAATGAGGAGTGAGTGAGTGAGTGAATGAGTGAGTGAGTGAGTGAATGAGTGAGTGAGTGAGTGAATGAGTGAGTGAGTGAGTGAGTGAATGAGTGAGTGAGTGAGTGAATGAGTGAGTGAATGCATTCACATTCACTGACCATCAGATGCAGTGGTCAGCCGGGGGCTCCCTCCACGCCTGCCCCTGCCAGCACTGCACCCCACCCCCAGGGCCGCACCCAGCCCTGGCCCCCCTGCCTGGGTCCCATCAGGGCCCGAACTGCCCTTGGGAATAAAAGCACCTTGTCAAGTCTCACTGTAAATTCAAGCAAATCGAAATAGCTTGGATTCAAATGACCTATTCAAACCAGTTGTTTGTTACTCCTCCAACCAGGATGATTTCCCCGTCCTGCCTCTGCTCAGTCAGGTGAAACCCTTGGGAAAAAATAGCTGCAGTTTGCATGTTATGGAAATGATGGCTCCTTCGCAAGGTTAGGAGCAGAGCTCCCCCGAGTTTGACTACATTTCCATGAGGGGCGGGGCGGAGAGCTGGGGGCTGGAACCTTTCAGGGACTTCAGCCCGGGTGGGAAGGGGGACACGAGGTAATGCCCAAAGGGGCCGGCTTCTCCTTACCGCTGCAGTTTTTCTGCCGAGGAGGCTAAGAAGCCTTGGATCACCGGGGAGCATTTCCACCTCAGCCTCCGGGGGGCCGGCAGCTCACTGACCGAGTCGGCGCGGACCAGCTTCTTGCTGCTCCTCATCCTGCAGGCACAGGGGTGACCTGCAGCCCTGAGCGGGGGCTGCGGGCAGCGCCCTCTGCAGTCCGCTCGCCCTGCAGGTTCAGTGGGCGCGAGCTGCCCCCGACACCGCACTGATGCCGAGAGGGAGGCTCCGAGAGGCCCCCAGATTAGCAGGCGGCCGAGCGGGATTCCATCCAGTCCCACCTGACCCCAAAGCCGATTGTACTATTATTATGGAGTTTTCCTGCTTGACTACATCACACCTCTGACCATGATAAAACCTCGGGAGATAAATGGAAGCAATTGTGCTGTTCCGTCTGCAAGGGTGGGTTTGGGTTTTCAGAGACCCTAGAGTCCCAAATCGTGGAAGAAGTTTAGAACTTAGATTCCGGGAGAAGACTAGGAGAGAATGAGCAAAGTCAAAACGGAGGAAGGAAACGGTGCTTAAAGGTGGAGAAGCCCGGAGTAGGGCCAGTTCGGAAGCGAGGGAGAGAGACCCGCCCGAGAGGGTGGGAAGAGGTGCGACCCCGAGTCCTTCCCTCAGTGCGGGGCCATCCTCGGCCCACCCTGGACTCCAGACAAGCGAAGGGTTGATGGAAGCTTCCCTGGGTCGAAGCCCACGTTCCTTGCTAAGATTTCCCCAGGAAGCCTCCCCTAGCTGCGCTGATGGGCCCGCATGGCCCCTTCTGTCCACGGCTGATAGTGGACAGTGTCTCACGCAAGCTGGTTTGCACATTCATTTTTGCGGAGACACTTTCCACGCGAACGCGCCCGGTGTGTGGCGCCCCATGCTCCCAGGCCAGGCGTGGCAGCCCGGCTCTGGCTCGGGCCGCGGGGCCCGCCCCCGAGGCTCCCCGCCCCCACTCACAGGTGCTCCAGCAGGTGCTCCAGGCACTGCACCAGGACGATGCCGTCGAACGGGGAGTGCTCACACACCACGCCGCAGGTGCCGTCGCGGCCCACCACGAACTGCAACGAGGAAGCGAGCCCAGCTGACCCCTGGTGGAGCCACACCACCCGCCTCTGGCTCCGGGGGCCTGGCCGCGCCAGGGGTCCCTCCTCAAGGACGCGGCAGCAGTCTCTCCTGGGAAGAACGCCGCCAGGGCCTGCGAACGGGTCGCACCCAGCGCCGCCCTGTGCGACCTCCTTCCCAGGAAGGCCCTGGGCAGGGAAGGCGCAGCCACAGGTCCCTGGCCGAAGTGCCCCAGAGATCCCACAAGCTGTGCGCACCCAATTTCCCTCCGCTTCTCAGCCTGCGTCCCCTTCACAGCGCTGTCAGCCCCCTCCCTGGGCACTCTGAGTGATGACACGCCTGGTGGCACCGCTGATTTTATTCCAGGACCTAGACCAGTGGCCCCCATGGTAGGTGTTCAGTAATCTTGTTGGAGGACTGAACGAAAGATAATCCAGTTGGGACAGTGCACAGATTCCTAGGGAGACAGAAAAGCCCCCGTGACGGGGTGAGGAAAGGTGTGCTGGGGGTGCCCCTCACTGTGCCTGGGCTTGGTGCCAGGGACCCGGAGTCCAGCCTGCTGTGGGGGCGCCGGCGGGAGCTCCCGCAAGGCACTTCGCCTCGGGCCCCAGCGGGCTCTCTGAGCAGATCCTGCAGGGCAGCGCACTGGCCTGGCCTGAGGGCTGGGGGACGGGTATGGAAGGACCCTGGGCCCTGGAAATCCCTTGACTGCTTTCATGAGCCTGCCAGGCGGTAGCTAGCTGACGCGGAAGAGGGTCCCACCCTCTCAGAAGTGCTGGAAGGAAATAGGAAGGACAAGGGTTGGTTCCTAAAGCACAATCCAGATAAAGTAGGGCCACCTGTAGAGCCACACCTGTAGCTCGGCCAGCACAGGGGACACTCAGGACACAGTACCTACCAGCCATAACCCAACAAGCACGCGAACAAGCTACCGAGACCTTGACTGCCCCTGCTGCGGCACAGGGCACACACCCGAGCCAGCTGCCCGCGCCCTGCAGTGGCTCACATAGCTGCCCGAATCTCAGCTCCCCTCCTTCCCACTTCCCACAGAGTTGCTCTCGGAACTCATCCCTGCAGGCTCTCCTGGTTCCCCCCGTGTCCCCGACCCTCTGTCCTGTGAGAGCTCTCAGGCCTTTCGGTTCCGTCCACGAAGCCCGCTGGGCCTCTCCAGCTCACCTGACAATCTGCTCCTCCTTTGGAAAGAACCCGGAGCTGGGTACAGTCACCCACATGAGGCAGGGAGGGAAGGACTGTGCCCACTCACACATTCCTGCTTTTCTGTCCCTGTCGCTAAAAGAAAGGCAGGCCAACAGTGCCTTTTAAAAACTGCTACCAAGCCGCACTGGGGTTCAGGTCCTGCACATTCATTGTACCATTTCACTCCCACACCTGCTCCGGGCAAGGTTACAGCCGGCAGCATTGCCTGCGCGCTGGGAGTGGCAGAATGGGTATGCACACCCACGCAAAGGGGAACCTGCAGACGCAGGGGCCGGGAGAAAAACAAGCCTGGTGCTCATTACGTGTGAGCACGCCATCCCAAAGCACAGAGATCTCGGCCGCTGGTTAATAAGGTCACTGGAAAGTGTGGTGACCTTAAAACAAACATGATTAGGTTCAGGATTGGCACTGGGGGGACAGGAGGTAAGAACAGGAATGAGTGGCCCAACCCCGGCCTCATCCCCATCTGCACTGAGTGTTTTTCTCGAGGCCAGAGTGCGTGTCTGGTCTGGGCTGACATCACATGAATGAACACAATGAATTGTTTTATTTTGTTTTATGACTTTCCTGCTTTGGAGATGCTGGGCTGCCCTACTTTTCAGGGATGGAGGGAGGTGTGTCAAAATGGCCAGGCCAGGGTGACAGAAACTCAGGAACGCTGACCTCTCTGGGCATCAGATGTGATTCTTGCTGGCATGTTGCGAATTTGTTTGGGGGGAGCCCCTGGCATGTATATTATGGGAGGTGGGGAGTGAGCCCCACATCCGACCCAGAGGCCCCAGCTTGGCACAGGCTGCAGTGAGTTGGGGTGGGGTTTGGCCACTTGCTCCTGAAGAGTCCTGGGCAGTCCAGGGATGACACCAAGGCCACATCTCCAGCCCCTCAGCACCCTCGGCCCACAGGCAGCATCCTGGGCCACGTCCTCAGGGGAGGCTCACCTGCAGGGACTTGTCGTACCAGCGGTTGGCCCCGTTCTTGCTGCAGCCTCCACCATGGAGGAGCTGGAGCGCCCTGTTGGTGTCGCTGAGCTCCGAGCCCCCCGGGGTGTCCAGGCACACCAGGCAGACGCAGCGCTCGATCATGTCCAGCGAGTCCCGGTTGGTTGAGTCTGTGGGGCAGGCAAGCAAGGCCTTATCACCTGTTCCACTCGGGGCCTGGGGTCCCTCTGCACAGCCTCGCACGCCTCAGGCAGACACACAGACACCCATCTGGAGCCAGTCCTCACCCCTCCCCTGTCCCAATGGGGTTCTGGGAAGTCAGCCAGACTGTCCTGGGCCTCTGGACTAACCCCAGGGCCCCGCTCAGCCGGAGTCCCTCTCGCTGTGGCCAGTGCTGCCTCCAGAGGTGTGGTCTCTGGCCCTGCCCGCAGGGCGAAGGGAGCTGGGGTCGGGCCTTCTCACGGGCATCAGCCTCGAGCCAGGGGAGAGCGCCACCCCACCGTCCACCTGCACCCACACTCTGGCTCGCGGCATGTCTATCTGTCCTGAACGGCGGCTTCCAAACTTAGTTTCTGGAAATTTAAAACGAGTTCATTTCACATGGAAATCTGAAGTACGAGAGGAAGGGTGCTGTCCTCCGTGGCCCCGGCCACCCAGCAGTTCGGCCGATGCAGGGGCAATGGAGGGGCCAGCGGGACTCGTCAGGACAAATAGGTTACAGAGACTGAAAGCCACTGAGATGGGGGGGCATGTTGCCCAGGGAGCTGGACCCCTCCCCGAGGACACTGGGTCAGGGTTTCTCCGGGAGCAGAGCCAGGTCAGCCCGATGGCTGGCACAGGAAGGCTCCCAGAGCCTGCCCACAGGAACAGGGCTGGGCTCCGTCTCTTCTCCCAGTCGGGAGTCTTTGTGGTGGTGACTTTGTTCCTCCTCCACCTTCCCATACAGGGTGTGGCCTCAGGACCCGAGGGGAGGCTGCACATCGCCCAAGATCCAGACTCTTGGGCTGGATGCTGTGACAGGATCAGGGTCACCACTGCGACCCCAGCACCAGAATAGTACATGCGAGGGGAGGTGCGGGGTGTGGGAATTGGAGGCAGAGGGGCATCATGTGTCGGGGGTTGCTGGCTGCATATTGCGATACCCATTCTCCTTTTCGCCACAGAAACCTGGTTTTCAGCTTGGCACAGGGACAACCGGAAGTAAAGCTACATTGCCCAGCCTCCCTTACAACTGGGGGTAAGCTTGCGTCTAAATTCTACAAACCGGATCTACAAACACTACATAGTAGCTCCTGAGAAACCTCCTTAAAGGTCACTAGCACGTGCTCTTTGCCCTTCGTCCCGCCTCCCTCCCCCTCCCCCCTGCAGCACAGGCTGAGGCCCAGAGCGCTCTGTTCGTCTGTTTGGGGCCACTAGGGAGAGGACCACACCCTGGCAGTGAGCGGAAGAACCCTCACGGCCACGTGTCAGCTCTGAGCACTTCTGGCACACAGGAACGAGAGAAGAACCTCTGTGTTTTCAAAGCCACTGCTTCTTTGTTTTTTCTGTGGCCGTATCCACCCTCACATGTGGCTCATGACACTGGGTTCACTCTCCCGGCGCAGGCATTAGCCGGAGCCCAGGGGCTGCACCCTCGGCTGGCCACAGTCCTCTCTCATTTATTTAGCCCCTTGGGTTCTGTAGGTTTTTCAATCCTCATCAGAAGGCTGCTCTCTCGCTGAGTACTGGGGGCTGGCAGTTCTTTTCAGATGACCGCCAGCCCCGCCTTCCTCCCTCTTGTCTCAGCTCCAAGGCAGTCACTTGAGTGGTCCTGGTCCCGAGTGCTGGCCCTTCCGTCCCCTGTGCCCCTTGACTCTGAGCCCAGGTACACTGCCCCTCTCTGCTCCTGCCCTTCCCTTTCCCCGCTGGGATCCCAGTATCCTCTGAGTCAGGACACCCCTGTCAGAGCTCAGCTCTGGAGGCTTCTGTCCTTCCAGAGCCTCAGGCCAAGCATGATGCCCACCATCTGTCCAGTCACCGGGAACCTGCCCTCCTGAAGTCCGGGGAACATGTGGGAGCAGGCAGAGCTTCTACTTGCTTCCGGTCTCAGGCTCAGGGTCTCCTCAAAAACTCTGCTCACCAGCCCCGCCCTGCCCGTGGTTGGAGCCACGCCCAGCAGCACCTGCTCCAGGCAATGGGAGGCTGAGAGCCCACAGGCCGATGATGTCAGTGGGGAACCACATCAAGATGCCTGTCCTTTCTCCTGTGCATCTGGGAACCTGGAGTGGTCATAGATGCGGTCCTTGCCCTATCCTCTCTGGGTTCCTCCCTCACCCTGGCATGTGGCAAGTTCCCCTTGCTGGTGCTGTCGGCCTCAGTGAGGTGATAAGTAAGGCCGTCCCCTGGGTCTCCTCAACGCCAGCTGGGCACGCGATGCTAAGGCCGCCTGTGCTGTTCCCAGGCGATTCCTCCACGTTCATGAGACGTTTCCACAGTCTTCAGGAGAAAGGAGTTTCCAGTCCCGAGTTATCTCCTTCCTCCCTCTTTTTGAAAATTCTGGGGGAAGGAACTATCACTTAGAGCAGAACTTCTACTCTAGGAAGGAAGATGACCAGCAAGCAGCCCATTCTCTGCCGTCCATCCCTGCTTCCCGTCTGGAAGGATGAGGGTTTGGGAACTGCTGAACTTTCAGATGCCTCTGGATCCCTATGGGGCTAGAATGACTCATCACCTTCCACATGACCTCTTAGGCTCTCCTGCCTCAATCTGATGCCCTTCAAAGCTTTGAGCCTGCCCTGAGGTGCTAAGGATGAGTGAGACCCCAGAGACCCCATGGTGGCCCACCTTCCCTCTCCTCCTAAGTGCAGTGAAGTACCTGGCTCCCCTTTCAACCTGAAAGAGCTCCTCCTGCCCACCAGGTAGAAACCAAACTACTTCTTCCTCCTCCTCCTCCTCCTCCTCCTCCTCCTCCTCCTCCTCCTCCTCTTCTTTAACACAGCTCCTGGGCTCCAGGGCTAGCCTCTGCTGCCCCTCAGGGCTCAATCCCCCTGACTCTTTGCATGGGTCTTACACCAGCCTCCTGCCACTCCCTGGGCACCTGTGCACCCCTATGCAGGCTGTCCCCAGGGTGGGGGCCCTCCTCCCACTCTGTCTATCAAAGCTCTGCTTGTAGAACCCCGTCCAGCTCCCTGACCCTCTAACAGCGCTGGCCTTATGTCCAGGCATAGTGGGAGCAGACAGACAGACACCTGGAGCTGCGTATGGACTAGGCACCATTATCATCCCCACTCACAGTGAGGAACAGAGGAGCTACATGTCCTACCTAAAGTAACCCAGTAGGGAGCTGAACTTGACCCACACCTAATGCCAAGGCTTAGATCCGCAAGGAGTGGTAGGACGGGGAATATGGACTTCACCTAGCAACAGCAGGGGGCCACTGAGGATCTGGGCAGAGGTTGATGTGGTCAGAGAGTCTAGGTTGCTGAGCAGCTTGGGAAGGGCCTGGGCCCGGAGGCCGGACAAGGGGCAATGAGCAACCCCAGTGCTGCCCTTGGCCCCGTTGGCCACGTCTCAGCAAGTTCTGAGAGCCCAGGTTTGGAATCTGCCTACAGCGCGGTTTCCTTAGGAACAGGTCTAAGGCCAAGGTGGGGTGCGAAGGCTGCAGGTCCCCGGGAATCCAGCCAGAGGCCTGGCAGAGCCTGTGGGTAGGAAACGGAGGCTTGGCACACTCCTTCCCAGCGAGGCAGCAAAAAGGACAGCTTCCCAGGCACCAGCCCCCCCCCCCCCGACAGAAGAGGGGCTCCTGGGAGGGGCTGAGCCACCCCTGCCCCGCATGCTGGCTGGCAAGGCCCTGGAGCTCCGGGCCAACCAACAGGAACCCGGTCCTGGCTCATTAGACAGAGTGAAATGGGAGCAGGACAGCCAAATGGGCATGTCAGGTGGCCTTGCAAATGAACTCCCTGCATACAAGGAGCTGATCGGTCAAATGCTGACAAGTTTATCGTGTCAGGCAGAAAATAAACTATAGCCAAACTCATTCACCATGACTCTGGCTCAAATGTGATGGAAACATGGAGCGGTGGGCTGGAGGCACACGGCAGGGGCTGTTTGTCTTGTGACATCGTCATCGAGCGCAGGGATAATGTGGTAAATCAATCTTCCTCAAGGAGCCCCTGCTTAATAGTGAGAAGTCGGAGTTGGATAATAGGAGGAGCCGACTCTGCCGCCCACGCCTGCGGAGTTGACAGCTTTGGTGATGTAGGAACTCCAGAGGCCACAGGACCTTGGAGGGCCCTGCAGCTCTGCTGGAGGCAGGAAAGCTTACAGGCTGTGACTAACGTGAGCAAAACGAAGATCAGCACAGCACCTCTGCCTTTGGCGGTGTGCAGAAGACTCAGGTGCCACACACACAAGCGAGCACGCGCACACAGCATTCTCTGAGACACTTATTTGCTCTGATCTATTCCCTGGGAAGTTGGCCTGGGTCAGCCTTATACAGTCTGGGGAGATGGAGGCAACTAGAACATTCTCAGAGGCTTCTAGTTTCTAAACCATTGTCAACTCCATCTGAGCATCCTTCCTCCTCGGATGAAGGGATCATGTCTCCCTTGGGAGGGAAATCTGCCAGCACATATCCCATATACTTCTCTACTCTGTGGCTTATGGGGTTATCTTTATGAGTCACATCTTCATGGGTTATGAGAATTCTAAGAAATGTATTTCTTGCTCAATTATACATGGTTTTTGCAAATCAGATCTGCTTTGACTTGAGTTACAATGTCCTCTTTAAAAATCTCAAGAAGGAGATGCCTGGCTGGTGTGGCTCAGTGGACTGTGCATCGCCCCACAGAGTGAGAGGTGCTGGTTTGATTCCCAGTCAGGGCACATGCCTGGGTTGTGGGCTCGGACCCCAGGAGGGGGTGGGTAGAAGGCAGCCGATCGATGTTTCTCTATCATTGATGTTTATATGTCTCTCCCTTCCTCTCTCTCTAAAAAATCAATAAAAGCATATATATATATATTTTTTTTAAAAAAGCTCAAGAAGGAGGATACTTATGATTCTAGGAATATCAAGTGGATTTTTCCCTATTCTTCCCACTAAAAACTCTGGATATTATATTTAAAACAAACATAGAAGACCCTGAAAGATGGAAAGAGGAAGGCAGAGTTACTAAGAACCTCACAACCAAGG